GAGCTGCCTGCAATCTGCCTGCGATGTCCTGGGAGCTGCCTGCAATCTGCCTGCGATGACTGCCTGTGTCGCAGTGACTGCAGTCACACCCGAATTTTCTAGGCATGACCTGGACATGAACCAGCCACCATGGATATTAGTCATTTCCCCACCATTTTAGGTAACATCCCTGTGTCATGCTAGATTTTAGGACATCACCTTGCGATCCGTCACACACCGCACCACATTAGCTTGATTAAAATAGCGTCTAAGTCCCCAAACTCTTAAAACATGTTAAAAGATACCTTTAAGTTCCTGAACTCCCAAGTATATTATTACAAACCTTATTACAAGGCAACGTAGCATGCATGAATAGTATTCCACTATGGCTACTTCACTTGATAGATGGAAATCTTCAAAACAAATTATAATAACTACATAAATCAAAACCGCAGCTACCAATCTATTACAAGAGGAAAATCCTCACGCTTAGCTACACCTAAAAAAGTACACACATAAACATAAATACATATCCATAATATCTATTTCCAAAAGTATACAGCCAATGAGGGAGCCTGCCACTTAGTCGAGCAATTAGGACTTGGTTTCCGATTGAGAGATGCTGCAGAGAGAATCTCGCATTGTATTTACAGTGCAACCAATCCCAACTTGAAGTACATGCAATAAAAGAAACTTAAGACCATGTTCTCAGATAAATGGGTGATAAATGTGAGTTTCCTTAGTCTTTTCAATCAAACCAGATACTGGCAACAACTCTAGTGCCAACACGGCATAGTTCGAAAAAGGTAATTTCATTTAAGTTCTTGCTTTGTGAGAACCTCTATCTATACGATACTCTTTAAAATGGGTGTGTGCTGCATATCACTATTGCCAGAGAAATACAAAAGCCACGGAAAAAGAAGCTCAAATTTTCTATTTCCACAAAATATGGACCAAAGCTCCCATTCAGCAAAATGATGCTAAGACAAGGCTGGTGCACTAAAATATGCAGTAATCGCTTTGAATCTGCCATTCAAGAAGTTCTTCTCCACCTGATTACAAAAAATTGTCAAAATCAAAATGCAAAGAGGGGGGTGTCATTGACCAGACATCTAGAGCAAGTCATAGGGAAAAAGGTAGTCAAGGCTAGAGAAACAATAGACTCGAGCAAATCATATAGGAAATGTGCAGCATTTATCCAAGAATGAACAGTAGATTCCCATACTGAAGTAAAGACTACTATGATCCGGAAATGTTTCAGACCAGACGCATGACCCGATCAATGTCAATATACTATCACCCGAAGGTTTACCCTCGTGAGTACCCTTGAGTTACCTTCACTTAAGTCATTGTACAAATCTCCTTTACTATTGCTTTCATTTAGTTTTGAGACATTTGTTGCATTTTTCAACATTATAAAAAAGGTTAAAGACTAGAAAATCATTACTACTTGTATTGTTACTACAGAGTTATTCTAGTAGTATGTATAGAGGATGAGGGAGGAATAAAGGGGCTCCAACCTCTGTACCTGCACATGCTCGTCTTTTACTTTCTCCATTTTTTATTTTTTCATTTTACTTCTTTCTTCTTGCATCTCATTGAATGCAGGGAAAAAACTTTAAAAGGGTACCTCTAAAGACCATGGAGGAGAAGCTGATAAAGACAACTCTGCCAATTGGCTGATATCAGTATTCCGTGGGAGAAACATGATGATTCTGGAAGCAATTTCCTTCCCAGCATTGAAGAGAAACAGTCTGATAAGAATAATAAAAAGGGAACATAATGTTAGCATCACTGTGTGGGAATAAGTAAAAAGCAGATGTGGCACATTGTCCAAACAGAGAAATACCCGTCACGGGGCTTAAGCATAGTGCTAATGTCAAATTTCTTCACTTTTGAATAATCAGGACCACCCCAAGGTGGCGACATAAAGACAGTGTCCGCCTGCAGCCAAGTAAATATATATAATTATTGCTTCAAATAAGAGAAAATCTTGGACATGAAATGTTGAAGGGAGTGAAGAAGAAAATATGCATTCACACATCTGGAAGTGTTTCATATAATAGTAGGTACAACTACAAATACTGAAGTTAGACAATGAAGCGGCATATATGTGAGAGTGGCAATTTCAAAAAAAGAAAAAAAGGAGCTGGATATCTTTCTCGAAGTGAATTTCATTGCTCAGAAGCAATCATACGGAAATGGGAAGATTAAAATTGTTCCTCAATTAAATATTATTACACTAAGAATATAGAAAATCCATACCTTCAGTCTTGGTGCCAAATAAAATGAGTCACCCCTAATGAAATCTATACGGTCATCAACTTCATAGAGAGCTGCATTATGTTGTGCATATCCAATTTTATTTGGATCGATATCAATTGCAATCACATGTTTACTCCTGGAAATAAACAACATAAAAAATCTTAATCACCATGACAAACATGACTTGCAAGGGACTTGTTCATATGCACATTCCAAATTTCTGATTGCAATTCATATATATTCCAGAATCCAAGGAATGCAATTGTTTCTATTTTAAAATCTCCAACAATAGTATTAATGGTTACCTTAGTGCAAGATTGTTTATAAACTACTTTGAAAGAATATTGAAAGCGAATCAATCATTTAATTGGTTATCATTTAGTTGATTACTTGAGTTCAAAATTTTTGGTTGGTTATTCATCTTGAGAAATTTCTTTTGTTATTTAGAAAATTGTTCCCTTAATTCTAATATTAAATTATCTTGCTTTGTTTGCTTTCTGTATTAACTTGTTTTACTTGTGTTTTCAAATCACTCAATTCATTTTGTAAACATCGTAAAGTTAAATTTAGTTTTTCATGTCTTTGTGGAACTTGCTTGTTTCTTTTAAATATGTTGGTGCAGCTAAAAGAATCTCCTCAGCTATTGAAGGTATTGATGTTCGATATCATATCTTCTAATTTCGTATTTTTTAGGTTTTGCGATCACACACACGTTTATTTGTTTGCCATAAAACTGCAGTCCAGAATAAATAATCATAATCTACTCCAATATCATAAGAAGAAACAGTTTTATCAGATTCATTAAACTGGAGTAACTGTGATCTACAAGTTGAAGCATTGGGTCTAGATTATTGACCATTTTTTAAAGTAAGTAACAATGGTAACTAGTAGTTAGGATTTAACGGTTTCTTTGTTTTTACAGAAAGGAGAAGATGTTGGCTGAGATGATTGAAGCAAGTCATTTCTTTTGGGACCTTTAATATTTGTCAGGTCAAAAGTTTTTTATAGTAACATGGGGTGAGTAATTATTCAAAACTATGTGCCCATTTGGCATGGCTTTTGAGAAGCCAAAATGAGCTTTCGAGATCAAAAGCTGTTTTTGACCCGTATAGCTAATTTTATGAAAGTGTATCTTCTAATTAGAAATTCTTTTAGAGGAAGTTAGTTCAATGGCTTTCTCTAAAAGCACTTTCGAAATAGGAAACGCTTTTAAAAATTAGTTTCCAAACAAAACTTAAAGTAGCTTCCTTCAAAAGCTTTTCTACAGAAAGTAAAAACAAAAGTAATGTCAAACGAGCCCTATATTATTGATAATTCTCTTCTACCAGTAAGCCTTTGTTTTGTATATGACTTTTGAGTCAAATGTCTCAACAAAATATTAATCTGTAGCATTAATAGGAATTGTAAGATCATATATCAAATCTCGAAAATCCATGTCTATCAGTCCCTATTGGAAAACACTAAATTTTTTATTCATGTGGGGTCCATCCCATGTGAGAGGGTGGACACCCTTAGGTAACCCAAATTATGTACAAGTAGTATCTCGTTCCTATTCCCTAACAGAATCTTTGACTTTGGACAGAAAATTTAGCTCATGTTTGACAACCATTATTTGAAAACTCTGTTTCTACGTGCTCATTTTCAACCACACATTCATCCAATAAAATGTTTTGCACGTAAACCTAAAACTTTTCCCTACTTTTTAACCACATATTCTCCTAAAAATCACCATTCAAAATATTGTTTTTCAAGAATAATGGCCATCAAATAGGGCTTAATAATCTAGAAATATATATTTCTAATGACCAACAAGTGTTGAAGTGTGTCAATATACTACATATTACACTACATCTAGAATTATCATTTCCAAACATTATTATTAGGGAGATATCTAGATTGTCTACCCGCAGCTGCTCTTACTAAAGCCGAAGCCTAAAATGATATGAAAAATATCCAACATCTAGTCCCAAAACAAAAGATGACAAAGAAAGGACAGATCAAGTAAACAATCACTAAGGTTGACACAATTAGGAAAGGAAAACAGAATATGGAGCTAAAATCATTCTCACCGTTGTGCAAATTGGATTGCATTTCCACCAACTCCAGTGAAAAAATCAACTATGGAACCATTACCACAACGGGATGCATGATGCTTGGCTATTGGCTCTGGAGTAACAGAAAACCACCCTTCTTCATCCATTTTAATACCATCATCATATCTCGAGAATAGAAGATACCTTTGACTCCAATATTTACCTATACTGGGAGAAAATTCTTCCCAAACTCCTTCAAGCTCTGAGGAAAACATGACCAATAATCAAGAGAGTAAAAGTAAAGAAAAGAAAGAAAAAAATAATAATACAGCCCCCAGATATAAATGCACTGACACCAGCAGTAATTTTCATCTAAAATCAGATGTCTTTGGTATGAAGGGAAGCTGATATCAGGAAAAATGTCATCTTTCAATAAATTCATCACAGAACCCAACTACAACCCCTTTATAAAGGAAATGTGACAACTGACAAGATACTCTATTTGGAATAGAAAGCTTAATGTACCACTATATCTGATTGTGGTCAAAGTGGCAAGAAAGAAAGGGGGAATAAAAAATGGAAATAAAAGGACAGTTTAATAAACATATGATCTACACATAAAAAGATGTTTACAGAAAGTATCCAGAATATGAAAAGTTAAAATTAAATAGTTAAATTGCTTCGAATGCATTTCTGGGACTGTAGTTAAGGCTATAATTATTTATCCTAGGAAGCAACATTCCTATCATTGTCAGCAAGTACTCCATTGTGTATCTACTAAGCCTTTCTATTAGTCCATTCGAGAGCAAGAGGAGCTACTGACTTCTTCAGATACTCTATCAAGCTAATTATAAGATTAGGAAATAACATGGCAATATTTGGTCATGCATAAACTAAGTTATCTGGAACTATAATCCTGTGTGAACGTGAACTATTAGGCAGAGATACTAAGTTGTTTCTCAGTACTGCTCTTCTCTAAAATTGAAAATCAAAATGAGTAACTCCCATAAGGACATCCAGATGCACTATGGAATTTGTTGATTGAAGAAAGCAAACTTCTGTTGTCATTGGATTAACAAATAATGTTATTTTTCACAATTTCACCTATTTTTAGTCAACTTATGCTGCTTACTGCTCAAAAGAAAGGGAAAAGGACAGACCACAGTTTGCCCCTATATAAATGTAATTGATTATGATTAATCATTTGGATTGTGGACATAAAAATATAGTAAAAGAAACGAAAATGCAGAGTGGGCAAACCTTCGCTTGAAACAGACAAGTTCCTATTAGATTTTGTTCTTCGGGCTTTCTTTTTCCTTTTTGCAGTGTTGGTACTAGAGAAATTGTCAGCAAAAAGACAGCTCTTGACATTATGATCGCAGAGTTGATCAAAGCCATTGTCATCTTTGTATTCTTCAGCAAAAATAGGATTAGGTTGCAAACCACAAGAAATTTGCACCTCATCAGATTTTGTGAAATCTTGGAAGTCAACATGCAATTCAGCCATCTCAACTGCTGTCAATTTAAGCTCATTAGCAACGGGACTAAATGCATGGTCTTCCATTCCTAAAGGCAGGTCCCATGTAGACTCCTGTGTTTTCACATTATAAAAGTAGCTCCTCACGTAAAAGTCATCCCAACATGTTATCCATTCTTCAGAATCACCTTTGCAACTGCTGTCAGCCTTTTCAGAATTGAAAACTTCAGAAAACTGCGAATATACAGCAGAATCACAGTCCTGTATCATGTCACTGCCAATGTCATCGGTGTGTTTTATAACTTCAGTTTCTCTGTCCACAGACTCCAATGCTGGTTCCTTTAATTCCTTTCCATCACAAACAGCAGTATCCATTACCACCATATCATTTGTGCATGGACTGGAGCTAGTCTCAGAGATTTCATTCAATAAAACTTTACTAAATTCAGAGATGCAATCCAGATCGTGATCAAATTTAGAATCAGATACTTCATCATTACAATCACATTCATTGAGAAGAGCACAAGTACAGCATGCAATTGAACAGCCCAAATCCTTTCCTTCACTGCAGAGGTTACGAAATCCATCAATATCTGCTGTAACTTCACACTTCAATATTTCATTTTGGTTAAGCATTGCATTATCATATAAAATATCAAGAGACCTTTCCACCTCACTCACTTTGATCGAATCCACCACTCTGACATCAATATCATTCACACTACGGTGATTCTTCTTACTTGTATCTTTCCTTTTTCCACTGACCTTTCCATTTCTCTTCAACAAAATAATATCACATTGTCAGAGAAGGCACAAATTATCATCTCTATTACCAAAAAGAAACAAGTACACTCTTAAGGAAATACTAAGAGACAGCAATATCGACTTTCCATAGCATTTAAAATAACCACTTCACTGCAGCTATACTACTACCTTTACAATAAATAATATCGATGAAGCATCACCACTATCATAACCTTTATTCCCTTTTCCTTCCAATTTTCCATTGCTAATGCAACTAGAAAATTCCCCTCCCAAACCATTTACAAGTCTAGACCTTACAATGAATTGTAGGGGGATAAAAATGTTGTGATTGTAGAGATTAAAGATTTAAGAAAAATAATAGCAAACTCAATTATTTTATTAGTGACTTGCACTATTTATAGGAGTAATAGAAACCTTAACTCACCACAATACAACTCTCTAATTTAACTAGACTACAACTATTGGAGATAAGAGTTATGACTATATACTATAAAGATAAATACAATACATACCACTATACGATATAAAGATAAATACAATTTAATGACAAACACAATGAGTTATAATCTATCTCTAACAAGTCCCCATAAGATGATGAAGCCATCAGCTACACCAAGTAGTTGAGGTGAGTTGTAGATAGTGGTTTGGTCAGCACATCTACAAGCTAATCCTTTGTGAAGACATGGGAAACGTGGAGCTCGCCCATTTTTGTATTCAGTCACAAACAAAATGAAAGCCAATTTCAATATGTTCCATTCCGGAATGGAACACAAGGTTTGAGTAGAGATAGCTAGTGCGCACACTGTAATAGTAGATTAATGGAGGAGCACAGGTAGAGATTCCAAGTTCCTCTAGAAGAGATTTTATCCGTAAGAATTCTAAATCAGTGCTAGCAACGACTCAATACTCAGCCTCAGCAGAGGAACAAGCCATTATGTCTGAGATTCTCAAGCAATGGGGTTACGACTGAGAAGCACGACATAGGCAGTGGTAGAGGTACGGTCTTATGCATTTCAATCCCAATCTAAGTCAGAGAATGCATGGAGAGTTAGTGGGGAGCCACGCTGAAGGAAGAGGCTGTGAGTAAGGGAGCCAGAAAGATATCTTAGTAGGTTTTAACTCATGCCCAATGGTAGGACAGTGCATGAATTGAGATAATGTGTTAATCATGAGGCAATGTCAAGAAAAATGAGTGAGAGGTATTGGAGGCTGCCTACAAACTGTCGAAATTCAATGGGATCAGTGAGAGAAGTGTCGTGTATTATATAAGGGAGGTGTAAGGGGACACTGGGGTTTGAACTGGACGACAACCATGAATTTTGGTACGATGAAGCAGGACCTGAATATAGTGACGCTGAGAGAGAAACAGATCAGTGGACGAGGCGGTCACTTTTACACCTAAAAAGGAGAGTGGACCAAGATCTTTTAGCTATGTAGCACGGGTACTTCAACTAGAATAACGTGTCCATGTCCTAACGATTGCGACACTCCTCGAACAATCTACTATAATCATTTTTCTTTTTTTTACTAGAAATATTATAAATTTTTAACTCAAAATTATTAGTAGAAAATAACAAATAGGTACTCAAATTTAAAAGATTTCAATAAGAAAAATTAATAAAAGTATAAAACTAAATTTATACTTTATAAATGAAGAGTTTTAAAGAATTTAATCAACGTGTCGTTTCAATACTTTTTTGAAAAATAGCGTGTCAGCATATCCGACACGTATCCTGTCGGACAAACATGTCTGTGTCGGTGCATCATAGTCTTTTTGAGAGAACCGAAACCCAAGGCCGGAGATAAACTCAATGATAAAGCGTCCATCACTGCCAATGATAAAGATGTCATCCGCATAGACAAGGGTACAGATTATTTGACCATCATGATTGTATGTGAATAGGGAAGTGTCCGAGCAGGAATTGACAAACCCCAATCGGAGAAGACACAAAGTTCTTGGTATCAAGCCCAAAGGACCTGCTTGAGATAATAAATGGCCTTGTGCAGGCGACAGACATGAGTGGGTTGAGTTTTATCAGTGAAGTCCGAATTGAAAAACTGATGCTGGCAACATGGAACAGATTTCAAATTAATTTTCTCTAATACCAATTCCCTAATACGATGCAGCCAAATGAGGTACATGTGTTTCAAACCCAAAATTTATAATCTGTTAGGTCAAGCATTATATTTTAAGTTGCTAGCTCAAGCATATGACTATGTAGAAATCAATGAACAAGTGCATAAGAGTGAAAAAATATGTTAATACCTCCTTCTTAGTTTGGAAAGAGAGTGGAAGCCCCCAGTCATTAAGTTGTTTGGCTAGTTCCACATCTTCCAGTAATGAATGAATCTCTGAGAACATGAAATAATTCCAAAAGACGAAATCTTTAGCATGAATTAAAGGATACCAGATAAAAATTCCATTGTAAATGCCAATTAAAAACACACATAACTACAATAAATCGATATAAACGATAATGTTCAACAGAAGAAAAAAAAAACCTGCCATTACCTGTGGAGGCATCGTTCTCGTTCTTTTCAAAATCATCATCACCATTTCGCTTCTGCAATTGATGTCACAGAGGCAAATAAATTAAATATATGGCATGAAACAAGTTTAAAAGTTTAAACAGAAAAACCTACCGTTGGTTCTTGAAAATATGGAACTTCTCGTACTTCTGTTGACCCATTGTCCCTGTTAAACAAGCAATTCAAGTTGAAATTCGAATGGTCCTGAACATTCAAAATTAATTATAATAGGAAAAAGAAAATTTGAGCCTTTACCGCAAGTAAACTTCAGTGAATTTAAAGAGAGAGCCAAGAGCTTTAATGGGTTCTGCTCTGTCCATTGAGAATTCCATATGCTTGAATTCTTGAATAGGGTTTTGCTTCAGAATCTAAAGGTGTAAATGTATATGTAGAGTTTTACCGATGAAATCCGCAAAATATTAAGGCGGGGCAGTCAAGTTTAAGTCAACCACATAGACCAAAGCTTTGATTATAAATTTAGGTCTATAACAAGTGAATTTATATGAATTTCATTAATAGATGAATTTTAAGATATTTGAATGAATTTCAAAATTAAAAATATATGTATTTTCAAATTTCACCATTTTTGAACGAGATTCTTATGAATTTTATGAAAAATATTGAAATCCATAAAATTCATTAGGATTTTTAATCTTTCAAAATCCTTCAAAATTTCAATTTAGGAGATATCGCTAATCTAATAACAATTTGTTCTTATCACTTGAACTAAATTGAATTTAGTGGATTTTAAAAGGAGGAAATTACACCTAACCAGAATTTTAAAGATTCAATTTCAAAAATCAGATTAAATGTTCCACTTTTCAAAAATCAGATATTTTATTTTAAAATTAATTATACAATATTCATCTAAACCCTAATCAGTTTCCCAAGTTTCCTTTTCTCTCTCTCTGTCTCCATCACTCTCTATTCTCACTCTCCTCCCTCTCCGTCACTCTCTTCGCTTCTCTTCTTCCTTCTCGCTTGAGTTCGTCGCACATAGCGGTGATCGGGAGTTCGCAGTTCGCAATCTAGTGTTGGTGTTCGCGGCGGCGCTGATGGCTTCATTAATTAGATCGGACGAGGCGGTGGTGATGTGTGGTAGTGGTGGTTGTTCTAGCAGCGGTGGTTTTGGTGATGTGGGTGGTGGTGGTGGTGGTTGGATCTGGTGAGGTTGCTCGACAACACCAATGTTGGTGGTGGTTCCCAGTCGTCGCGATGATGTTGCTGTGGCGACAGTCGACAGGATCCCGATTTTAAACACTAATGTTGGATGTGTCGATCGGCCGATCAAGATGTTGGATGTTTCAATTAGCTGTGGGATTTGATGTTGTTGATGGTTTTGAGTCGACGGGTAGGGAACTTTGTCGATAGAGAGGCTAAGGCTAATTGGTCGATTGTGATGTTGATTTGTGGGTACGGTAATGGTGGTGTGTGTTGTGGATGCAATGTCGTGTACGGTGTTGTGGTTGGGTGCATTCATGTGTGCGGTGGTGCAGCGATATGTGTTGTAGGTGCGATGTGCTATGTGTGGTAGTGTGGTGGTGGCTTGGCGTTGTACAGTGGTGCTGACCGATTATTGTGAGGTGGTAGATGTGTTGATTTGTTTGGGATGGTGTTACGACGAGAGATGATGGCAGCGGTGGTGGTTCTGGCGTCGACGGTGGTAGTGCTGATAGGAGTGGTGAGGTGGTAGTCACAAGTGTTGATTGTGGTCACAGATTATTTGATCGTTTGTGACCATTAAATTCATTAATTTTTGATCAATAAACAATATGTGACCAACGAAAAATATAAATTGTGATCAAGAAATAATGTGTGACCTAAAAATTGTTAATTTGTGATCGATAATTTGACAATTTGTGACTGTCTACTAAGTTGTGACTTATAATATTTGTAATTTATGACCGATGAATAAGTTGTGACGTATAAATTTTTTTATTTGTACGTATAAATTTTTTTATTTGTGACCGATGAACAAATTGTGACTTATAAAATTTCTGAATTGTGACCGTAAAATAAGTTATGACTTGTAAAATTTTTGATTTGTGACCGATGAACAAATTGTGACATATAAATTTTTTAAATTGTGACCGTAAAATAATTTATGACGTTTCAATTTTTTATTTGTGACCGATAAACAAATTGTGATCTATAAATTTTTGAATCGTGACCGTAAAATAATTTGTGACATGTAAAATTTGTGATTTATGACAAATTAATAATATGTGACCAAATTTGTGATATGTAAAATTCGTGATTTGTTACAAATTAATAATATGTTACCAATTATATAGAATTTGTGATCAAATTATATAGAATTGTGACATTAATATATTTAATTAATAAAATATATGTTCAATTAATTTATAAATAAAATTTAAAAATATCTGAAATTTGAAATTTTAAACTTAAGTTCTTAAATTTGAAATTGGTAAAAATAAACATCTTAGTTATGTATTTTTCCTTTTTAAAATATTACAAATTAATGAATTTAGTGGATTTGAATATATTTTTACAAAATTAAAAATAGTGAAATGTTTGTTATATGTACTTTTAAACTTGAAATTCATCAAAATCTTTTAAAATTCCTCTATTAACGAAATCATTATAAATTCATAAGTTGTTGACAATACCAAAATTTTAAAAGATTTCATTGAAATTCATTAGAATTTTAGTCGGGGACACCAAAGTCTTAATAGATTTCATTAAAATCTCAATTAGGGATATCTGAATTTAAAAGGATTTTTAAAATCTATCAAAATCTCATTTGACGACAACCTAAGTATAATTTCGAGAGAAAGGGTACCATTAAAAAAGTAATAAATTATTTATTTTGACAATTAAATGTTACTTTTAAAAATAAATCATTTTTAACTTGTGAAAACTTGTTTAACAGCATAAAGTTACTTCTTTTACGAATCCATGAAATTGTCAACCTTCTTGTTGAGGGGTGCAGTGGTGATGGTGAGTATTGGGTAAATGAATAGGCTCATACTATATTAATTTTGATTTTCAATTAAATAAAGTAGGGTATATATCAATTAAACTATAATTAAAATAGGATAGATATTAAGTGCCTATTTGAGCCACATTTTTTGCTCAAAATGCATTTTGAAATGCGTGGTTAAACAAATAAGAAAAAAAGTTGAGTTTGCGTGTAATATTATTTAATTTATTTTATTGAATAATGAGTGATTGAAAATAATATAAAGAAAAATGTATTTTGAAAATAATTGGGACCAAACAATGATATAACATGAAGGAATTTTTGAAGTTTAAGATTAAAAAATGTATGCGATAGAATTATTCATTTATTATAAAGCTAAAGTAACATGAGAGAATATAAGAGAAGAAGCATAGGGAGTTAAAACTTAAGTGTGTATTTTATGAGAATCAAGACTTCATATTTATAGGGTTCAAAATAACAGTTAAAATAGAATAGACTCTTTCAAAATAAATATAACTTACCTAAATATCCTGATAAAGCCAAATAATCATCAACAATTATTACATAATTTTACAATACTTCTCTTTTGATGATTATTTGTACAATAATTGTCTCGTTAAAAATTTAGTTGGGCAAAAATTCGGTAGAATCAAAATACCAAACAAATAAAAAAGGGGTACAAATAATTATAACAAAATTTGAGTAATAAAATGATGTATCATTAAAACATTGTCAAGAAAATTTAATGGGACAAAATTTTGATCAAGGAAAAAGATTATAACACATTTTTATTCCCCTCACGATTCTATCACTTGAATTATATGCTTTAGACATATTAAATCTTTCGAGAATAACATTAATAGTCATATCAGATGAATTGACTATACTCGCATTTCAAGTTTCATACATTGTTAGGATAATAAGATATGGACTCGTGATTGCATTCACCACGATCTTTGCAAAATTCACCATATCGAGATCTGTGCATTACAAATTATGACATCATTTTTCTCATTTTCTTTTTGCATAAGTATATATCTTAATATATTTGGATTGCAGGTCCAGGAATTTCAAGTTTCTCTAGTTGATTCAATTTTGTTCGGAATGCATCCTTTTATTTGGTCAATCACTTTTTCGATTGATATGCTTCAACAAATTTATTTCAATATCATCACTATTTATAATATGAAATGGTACATAATGTACAAAAGTACTGTCAACAACTTTTTCTTTTTGATTTTATTTCTTTCTCATAACGACATAGCTTATTGAGACATCTCTATTTTCAATATTTTAAATATTTGAACATCTTCTGGAGTTTTGTAACTAGTTATGCCCATATATTTTCCAAGAGTACAAGTCTCTTACATGGGACTATCTTCCTTATTTGATCAATTTTCTTTTAGAGATTTTTTATCTTAAAATCGAACATACTCATGCTTCAAGCGTGACATAGACATATCAAATATAATATTAACGAATTATTCTATCAGGACGTCGACTCGAGTTGGAACATTTGTAGCTAGTACATTAGATTTTATAAATCTCTTCTAGATCGGTAAATACATCTTATAATTGAGTTACCTATTCATATTGTCAAGTGCAAGGATATACATAACACAATATGATGTATTATATATTATTTTCAGCACTAATTTCTCTCCCTAATGTTGAAAAAATAGTTCAATCAAATTGAAAATCAGTAAACGGCATTATAAAAATATCATTGTTAGAGCTTAAAACATTGTTATAAGGGTTTTCAAATTATGCATTTATTCTCAACATTATTTACTTTTCATAAAAGTGCATTGTAGTAGATTAATTGTACATATATTGCACTATTAAAATAATTAGATGAAAAAATTAAGCTCCGATCATAAGCTAACAATAGTGGAAATTTTTTTGATGTTGACACAATGTTAATAACATTCCATAGACATAATTTGGAAATACTTTGTTCTAAATAGTAATGATTTAAAAATTAATTGAAAGCGTTTAACAAATAACAGTGTCAAACTATTTATTACCATCCCATCTAACAATTATTAAAATTTTTAAATAGGCTCATTAGCATTAAAAAGATACGTCGTCTTTATTGTATAATCAGAAAGATATATTCATAATTTAAAATTTGATCAATAATTTCATAGATTTCAAGTGGTGAATACTATACAATCATCTAGTAGATATATAATATGTATTAGAAGGGTGAGAGACCTCATATATTACTCTAATTTATTTTCAAGATTATAGGGGATGAGTCCAACCTTTAGCTAATGATGGTTAATGACCAATTTATGATATAGAAAGCAACTATCATATGTGAGTTCGTTGGATTGAAAAATCTTTTAGTTCTTCAATAAATGTTTATTT